TTTCTTTCTTTCTTTCTTTCTTTCTTTCTTTCTTTCTTTCTTTCTTTTTCTTTCTTTCTTTTTCCTTTCTTCTTCCTTCCTTCCTTCCCTCTCTTTCTCAAACTTACTTTCTCTCTCTCTCTCTCTCTCTCTCTTTCTCTTTTTTTCTCTCTCTTCACTCCTGCTGTTGCTTAAAACTTTTCCTGCCTGCCACGGGGACATTAAAATGATCAGCAATTTGCCTCTCTAAAGACCGCCTTTGGTTCCATGCCTGGAAAAACAGTAGGCGAAATCATACAACCTTAAGTTCTAACATGTGTAAGTTATGCATCTTATTTCCATTTCCAAGCAGTCCTTTGCCCCAAAAAGACATGAGGAAAAAATTACCGTCTGCCTCTGAATATCTCGGCAGAAAGTTTATCTCCCAGCCATGATAACTATGCTAGAATAATTCTGCCTCTGTGCCTTAGCAAACAAATTTAAAGTTCTCTGTTGGAAAATCCTTCCAGGCTTGTTCAGCAGATGGGAATTTAACCAGGCAGGCATGTTCTTCTCTGTTTACTGAATGGACAGGATTCTTTCAAAACTTGTTTTTCTTGTGGCTGTTGGTTGCGTCAAGTGACATGGTTCATGAATTCAAAGAAAATGTCATAAATGAAACATAGCAATAGAATCTAGATATGTCTACCAGTACTAATGGGTATGGAACTCATCACTTCAGCTGGCTGATATATAAAGGACTTCATTTGTGAGTTTAAGGTTCTTCTGTGCCTAGTTGGGATGTTTATCCCTACTGCTCTTTTACTGACCTGACATAAGGATGGAGGTTGCCAAGTGACTAAGTAGAGAGACATTGCTGACTTTGGGGTCTTGCATTCTTCTCCCCTATGTTTTTGAACAGTGATGGACAGAATCTCCCAAATAAAATGGAAGGTCATCTCAACTTGTTTGGGTGGATAAAGTGTGCGATTATAATAATGCTGTCTAGATCAGCTAGTTGTTAGATCTCAGAAAGAGGTGGGCTCCAGATGATGAGGTTCTGTGACTTGGGAGAACTCACTGTTGAACCCTTGTGAGTCCATGGAAGGAACGGAGTTTTGGAGCAGCTTAATCTTCAGGTCCAGAGGTGAGATCATAAGCAGGACTTCCACTACTGGCTTTAGCATGGGTTGAGTAATGTAGGAAAGATATTTTGTGTACTTGAGTAATAATCCATTAAGAGCTTTAAAGAAATAATTATAAAATACCGCACCCACTGTTGATAGTGCTACATTTTCTGTCCCTGGTATGCTCCTCAGCTTATGACCATAACTGAACCCTTCTGTTGCTAAGGTCAGTTGTTAAGTGAATTTTGCCCCATTTTACAGCCTTTCTTGTCACAGTTAGTGTATCACTGCAGTTGCTCAATTATTAACATGGTTGTTAAGCGAGTGTGGCTCCCTCATTGACTCTGCTTGTCAGAAGGTCACAAAAGATGGATTACATGACCCTGCAACCCATCATAAATATAAGTCAGTTGCCAGGCAACTGGTTTTTTGATCATGTGACTGTGAGGATTCTCCCGTGGTTGCATGTGTGAAAAGTGGTCATAAGTCACTTTTTTTTTTAGTGCTGTTGCAACTTTGAATGGTCACTAAATGGATGGTCGAAAGTCAAGGACTACCTGTATTTCCGTCATGAATAAATACATTCCTTTGGCTTTAACTTCAAGTGTTGGCAACAGAAACCAAAAAGCAAAGCTGGGTTAATATTGACCTGGCGACTGTGTTTCTATTTCAGGGAATCTCCTGTGGATTGCAGTGTTAGCAAATGCAACAAACTCGTTGGTGCTGGTCCAGAATCCAACCCTTTGAATTATGGCACCTACATAGATGAGAAGAATGGACCTCCCCCTCCCAATATGACCACCAATGAAAGAAGAGTCATTGTTCCAGCAGGTAAGAGGCCACCTTGTTTCCTTTTGAGTATTTTCACTCTTGCAGAAATTTGGTCATGAAATCAGTATGAATTCTTTGTTGTTAGCTGTGAAGTCATGTATATATATACACACACACATACACACAACCATACATTTTCTATGTTCAATGTATAAAAATCCGCAATGTGTGTGGGAGAACAAATATCATCTAATATTTTCCAGTAAGCAAAAAATGGCAAAATGAACTTATTTAAGGAACTTTTTTTCTAGACCTGGGCAAATAATATCCATATAAATGTTTATAAATATTTATTTATATGCTCATAAAGATGTCTTCTCAAATAGATCAGCTTTGACAAAGTATCACATTGTAACAAAAAATTATATGACGTCTGGATCTGCTTTTTAGCTAGCAACAGGGATGACATTCATTGTTACTGTGAAATAGGAGGTTTGCAAAAATTTTGAATTTGAACCATTTCAAAGTCAACACTGCCCGTTTCAGGTTTATGGTTTCCTTGTGTCCAAAAGGTCTTTTTCAGTTATTCTGAGATAAAACATCTCTGTTTCAACTTTAAGATCCTCTGTTTCAAGCTTGAAACCCTCAAAACTAGAAAATTCTTTATCTTAGGAATGAGATAACCGTTTCAAGCAAGAAATGTTTGAAGCTTGAAGCATTCAGATATGAAACCGTTGACAAAATCATGATATGACATGATCCATGGCACAGAACCTGGTTACTTGAGGGATCATTGTTTCCCGTAATATTAGCCTGGCCAGTTTGATCCTGCAAGGTTGGCGTTCTTCAGGTTTCTTTGATTATACAATGTCCTCACTCAGGCATCAAGAGGTGTGCCTTCTCTAAAGTAGTGTCCCTGTGGAATGGGGTCTCCTTAAGACCCAGATGGCCCTCATTCTGCTATTGTTCAGAGAAGCCATGAAGACTTGAATCTTCTCCCAGTCCTTCAGTGAAGGTGAGACTCCTTGCTGACCATCTTTTATCTTCAACTAGCAGGGCACCTGTGCTTTGCTACAAAACTGTCTGTTCGGGCAAGTTTTGGGGGAGGAAAATAAGGAAAAACAAATTCTGCCTCTGCCTACCAGCATCCATTGGTATTCATCTGGCTAGTGTCCTGTCAGTGTGTGAGAGAGTTGAGGGCTGTTTGAAAACTGAAACAGCATTTACTGTATGAGCAAGAAGGAGACAGCAAGGAGTCTGGGCGTGGCTTAGCTCAACTATTTTGTACTAAAGCTGGTTGCTGCTCTGAAATGGAAACTCCTCTCCTCTGCTTGTGTTTTGCATTTGGAAGAGATTTCTTTTCAGGTGGGGAGGGGGAGTAGAACTCCTTAGCATCAGAGCGTGTTAATAATAATAATATGGGAAATACTAAATGCTCTGATGGTCATTTAAAAAATCCTTTCTTAGTGAGCACCTAGAAGCCAAGGGATCTTTTAGAGTGGGTAGCATACAAGTTTAATGAATTCTTACCATCAACAACATCATTAGAATGACACCATTTAATTTTTGCCCTTCGTTTGATGACACCATGGCGTATGGGATGATCCTGCGACTTCTGCTTAATAGCTAAATGACTCTGTGTATGCTTGCTTAAAAAGATTACAAGAATCCTAACGAGCAATTGCCAGAGTGAACAATAATGGACTTCAGGGAGAATGAATCAATCTGATTTTTCCAACCCTGTGTTCTTCAAATGTGTTGGATTTCCACTCCCATCACTCACAACTAAAATGATTTTGGAAATTGGCTATTGGCTGGATCCTCACATATTGGAGTTTGGAGCAAAGCAGTAAGACATTTCTCTGTCTTCCAGTTGTATGACCTTGCCAGTAACGATGATCTAATAATAGCATCATGTATTTGGTCCCCAAAGGATCAGTCAACCGCAAAATGATGACCTAGAGAGACTTTTTGGCATGATCCAGCAGCAACCTTCCCCCCTACACACACACACACACACACACACACACACACACACCTGTTTTTATACGACCCTAATCCACACAGTTGTCCTAGTCTTAAAATCAGCACCATTTATAGCGATACTCCATCTGGGCCTAATACACAGTCATGAACCCAATTCTGTATATTCCCCCTTAGTCCATCTGTATTGACTTAGCAGGCCTTGGAATTGCAAAATGAAAGGGCGAGTGGGTGGGAATAAAAGTTTGTGTTTTTTTTGTCAGTCCGTTGAGTCTGGAAATATGACTCAGACTTATAAAGCAAACTTGTCTGAGCAGGGAAGGTCATATTTGCAGAGAATTTACTACGTTTTGGAACACGCTTATAAACAGCACTCCAAAAAATCGCAATAACCATCTGTGCAAAATTTGCAAGGGGCTGGGGAAAGGGGTCAAACAGTTTGGAAAGGCCTAGTTTTCAGATTAAGGATTAGCTATCAGAGGAGGAAAAAAACAAAGCAAAGCATAAGCTTAATCTTTGGATTGAAATATATCTTTTGTGAATGGGCCAGCAGTGACTAACAAAGTAAGCCAAAAAGGCTGGCTAAGATGATGATGACGACTTTGGTACTTAGGACTTACAGAGAACTTGCAAATTACAGCTGTTGGTTTAGCAACCATTTGAAGTTACAACAGCATTGAAAAAAGTGACTTACTATACTTGTGCTTGTAACTGTTGTAGCATCCCTATAATCATGTGATCAAAATTTGGCACGTATTTATGACAGTTGCAGTAGTAAACAGTATGACAAGGTCACGTGATTGGCTATTTACAAGTTGCCCGGCCAGCTTCCAACAGAGTTGATTAGGGAAAGCCGGATTCACACAACAACTTCATGGTTCACTCAACAAATGCAGTGACCTCTGAGGGGAAAACAGGTTGTAAAATCAGATGTGACTCATTAAAACAGCTACCTTGGTTAACAATAGAATTTCTGCTCCTGACTGTGACCATTGGTCAAGGATGGAGATGCCAATTGTGCACTGTTCCATCCAGGTTGAGCATTTGGTAGTACATGTTTTGGGGGAAAGTGTACACCAAGTTGGATGGGATTCTGTTGAAACAGGCCAGATTTTGGGATGTTCTGGGTAGTGGTGGGATTCAATTTTTTTTACTATCAGTTCTGTGGGCTTGGTGGGCATGGCAGGGGAAGGATACTGTAAAATCTCCATTCCCTCTCCACCCCACTAACCTGCTTTCCAGCTCCCTTCTCCTTTGCAGGGCAACCAAAGAAGACCCAGGCGATCAGCTGGGACCCGGGAGGCAGAGAATAGATGGGGGTAGGGCCAGTCAGAGGTGGGATTTGCCGGTTCTCCCAACTACTCAAAATTTTTGCTACCGGTTCTCCAGAACTGGTCAGAACCTGCTGAATGCCACCTCTGTTTCTGGGGATTTGTGGGAAGGGAAATAGGAATTCAGATTTTGGGGAGATATGTTAGAAAAGGGAGCCCTGAGAAGAAATTAAAGATTTGAAAGGAGATATGAAACAGGTGAAGGCCAGAGTTGGTTGTATGGAGCATAGACTGGAGAAGATGGAATTGTTGAGGCAACAGATTTGGAAGCTCGGATTAAAGAATTTCAATTAAACTTTCACAGAATACCTGAACAACCAGGAGAAAATATTAGATCAAAGATCGTTAAGGCCCTGGCTCAGTTAACCAACAAGGGCGAAGGAGAAATGAATTTTAATAATTTGGTAGTACATGTTTTAGGGGGAAGGTGTATACCAAGTTGGATGGGATTCTGTTGAAACAGGCTAAGTTTGGGACTGTCTGGGGATTTGGGGGAGGGGAAATAGGGAGACAGGTTTGGGGAAATATGCTAGAAAAATGTACACCGTTTTTCTAGCCACAGTTTCTAGAAATGCCTCAAAAAGTTAATGCAGTTGAAGGGGACTCAAGATTGCAACAGCAACCACAAGGACAGAAAAGCAGTTGGAGACCACAAGTCGCTCATTAACCCCGTCCATGGCTGAGTTAAATTTCATGCCTCCAACTTGCAATGTTTCACTTAACCGTTCCTCTCCTGTAGGAACGAAACTAAAAGAAGAGATACGGGAAAATGTTCTTTCTTGATAGAGTACTGGTCATCAATCACGTAACCGCCAACACCCTTCCACCTCTCTGATTCCTTCTGATAGATCCCACCTTATGGAGCCAGGATCACGTGCGTCAATGGCTAGACTGGGCTATTAAAGAATATGGCTTAATGGAAATTGATACCAGCCTCTTCCAGAACATGGACGGCAAAGAACTGTGCAAGATGAACAAGGAGGATTTCCTCCGGGTCACTTCCCTCTACAACACAGAAGTCCTGCTGTCTCATCTCAGTTACCTCAGGGAAAGTAAGTTGCTGCGTCATTCACCCTTGCTACCTCATGACCATCTCTCACCCCACTGGGATTGGCTCATCCCACTTGGGCAGAGGAGGCCTGCTTGGGGGTCTCCTCAGCCCAATTAGTCTGGCTGACGGGGTCCAGGAGGAAGGCCTTCTCTGCCAGGGCTCCTGCCCTCTGGAACATCTTCCCCCCAACATCCCCCTGATGTGAGGTTGGCCCCAACCCACCTATCTTTTCGTAAGGGCTGAAAGACGTGGCTCTGCCAGTCGGTTTGGTGCCCCAGTTGGGAGAACAGCGCAAGGGAATGTTCAGTGGCTGACTTCTCTCCATTGGTCACTTACTCCAAGAGTATTGGAGTATTTATTGTGGTAATGAAATCTTTGCAATATAAAATTAAAGAGTATTTATTGTGGTAATGAAATGTTTGCAACATAAAATTAAAAAGTATTTATTGTAGTAATGAAATCTTTGCAATATAAAATTAAAAATCTATTGATTGCTGGATATCAAACATGAGCCCAATTTATAATAATCCATAAAACTCACATTTTCAAGCTTTTTAAAAAAATATCTATTTATGCAATGTAAGGAGCTAAGAGCCTTTCCCTTTGAGTAAGAAGAATGGTTTCCATCTCTCTCTTTTAGTAATGGACTAATTTAGTATCAGGCTGGTTGTCTGTGACAACATGAACAGTTTTTCCACATCCAATTTTCTGTCTCACAACCTTCTCCAGCATGGGGCCATCTAGAGAAGTCAGCATTAAATTGACAGCCAGCATGATCGGGACCACATTTGCTATGAATTCTGGGGAATTATTGTAGAGTCACCAACTAACTGATGGACACCAGATATGGGAAGTTGGAGTCATGGGTTGGCAACTGAAGCGAAGAGCTGTGGAAAGTCAAAGAAAAGAGATTTAAGCAAAAGGGCATAACAGATTGATAGAGTTGGAAGGGATCTTGTAGCTGATCTAGTGTAGCCCAAGCAGGAGACCCTACACCATGTTTGGCAGTCCAATCTCTTCTTGAAAGCCTCCAGTGATGAAGCTCCCATGTCTTCTGAAGGCAAGTTCTATTGGTTGATTGCTCTCACTGTCAGAAAATTTTTCCTGATTTCTAGGTTGAACCTCTCCTTGATCAGTTCCCATCCATTATTCCTTGTCTGGCCTTTGGATACCTTGGAAAATAACTTGACCCCTTCCTCGCTGTGGAAGCCCCTCAAATATTGGGACCCTGTTATCATGTTTCCCCTGGTCCTTCTCTTCACGAGTCTAACCATGCCCAGTTCCTGCAACCGTTCATCGTATGTTTTAGCCTCCAGTCCCCCTAATCATCTTGGTTGCTCTTCTCTGCACTATATGATGATGAGTGATGCCAAAAACAACTATCAATAAACTGTGCTGGCTCTGTTTTGAGATGCTACCATGAAGATTGCAGCACCAAATCAACCTTATTGTGTGCTGAACATGTTGCATCTCCAAAGTGTTGCTTCCTTCCCTAAGAAGGAAGCTTCCTTTATTTCTACCTTGTTCTCAGTGTGATTGAAAAGTTCTTTGTCCTTTCTTTTGGTGGCATTGTTTTAGTTTCCTTTCTTATTGGGAAACAACAAAGGATGTGAAGAGCTGATAACGGTGTTATCTATTATGTTCTTTCCATTCTTTCTGCTTGACTGTCCATATTTTCCAATCTGGGAAAGTCTTTATGATTTGAAACTGAATGAAAGGCAAGAAAGTTGCAGAACCTGGAGAAGTGATTATATAATAGAAGATAAATTATTTGCACACATCCAAAATTGATCACGACCACATGGTGACTTGCTTAGGGACCAACATGACTTACAACTGTAATTCCTAGCTCAATTACAGTCATAAATCAAGGATTGCTTGTAATTTATTTCCATGTGCAAATGTGCTGCTTAATCTTTTTTTAAGTAAATGCTACAGCATCCTATATAGGTTGGCTCTAAAGGACTAGCTGGTTAAATAAAAGCTTTATTAAAGATAGAGAAAATAAATCCATTTTCAAAACTTATTGTGTACCGACACACAACACACATGCACATAGAGACTGATTTGTCAGCTATATAACTGATACAATTAATCGGGTAGCCTTTCTGTACACAAAGCAGATGTATTTCCCTTACACCCGCCACAAAGCAAGAGAAATATATATATATATACACACCCAGATGGGTTAGGGAGGAAGTCTTGTTTTGTTTGGTAAAAGAGGAACAAAAAGGCCAAGAAAGGAGAAATGCAAACAGGTCATTTTAGTTCAACTCAAAACCAATTGTCAATCTGCAACGTTTTCTTCAGTCTGTCTCTCAAACGTATTTCGCTTGAATACTCCACCCTCTTCTTATTCCATGGATGGCTGGTTTCACACCAGCATCATTTCACTTAATTGCTGTTTTCTTCTCCCCAGCCCAATGCAACAGCTTGCAAATTTGTGAAGAAGGCTTTCTCTTGAGACTCTTTTTGCTTTGCAAGAGTGAGATGGCCATTGTTCTCTTTGGCTTTCACCAAGATGCTCTGATATATGTGAAGTCTTCTCTTCATTAAAGCCTGCCTACCGGCCAAGGAGGCTACTGAAAATGACTTCTTTCCAAGCATCTGTTCTTACATCTGCCAAAACACGGCCTGGTTTCTAGGTTTCTGGGTAACTCCCTTGTGGTGCAATGCCTCTGAAAGAACTGTTTTTCCAGGCTTAATTTCTTTGGGTCGTTGAATGCTGAGTTGAATGCAGAAGGTGCTCAGGAGTTCTGATTCTTATTTGTTTTGTTAGAAGGAATCTTTGGGATACTTCAGTCTTGATAAAAGAGAATATCTGTTGCTCAGGGTTGAACTATGGAATCCTTGGTGATCTCTGAGTTTGGTTTTTGTGTTGTTTTTTTCATGCAGATGTTTCATTATCAGGCTAGGTAACATCATCAGTGCTGGAAGGGAGTGAAGTTTGCATTCTGTTTACGTACTACTGGCTGGTGGACCAATTTGAAATTTCGCAAGCATGTCATAGATAATGGAAGGTATAGCCAAGATATGCAGCTAAAAAGAAGAAGACTTTGTCTGCATCCATTTTTTTTCGCTTTGGCGAAAAAAAATGTATAAAATTATTCCTCCCTCCCTCCCTTCAGGAAAACTCTTATCATGTCATATGGTCCAAAGGAAAGATCTATATCATTGGCTCAGGTATAATGCTGCTTTCAACCAAAAATGGTCAACTTATACACTGTGGCTAAAAGTGACCCCTGAGCTTCATTCTTTGGGATCCATGAAGATTGCTTTCATGACAACATTGAATGTCCTGTCTTGTCCTGTCCTGTCCTGTCCTGTCTGTCTGTCTGATCAGCCAGCCAGCCAGCTAGCTAGCCTTCTTTCCTTCCTTCCTTCCTTCCTTCCTTCCTTCCTTCCTTCCTTCCTTCC